ACCTAGATTGTACTGCAGTAATCAGTCGTTAAATTACTCCCCGAGGAAATCTTCTGTCTTCTGTTTTGTTTTCACTGAGATGTGAACAATTTATAACAAACAAAGATTTTTTTGTCTTGTAAAACAACGAATTGTGATGTAATTTCGAGCAGGTTTCTAGAATTAATAGCAGGTCAAGATGGTTGAAGCATTCTGTTGGTGAAAAATATCATTTAAGCTCATTAATAATGCTCTAGGTAGTTATCTTCGTGTATTTCTGTCGGTAATTTCACTCAATCTGAACTCGTATTTTTCTGTGGTCTACTTGACTTAATCTGATGGAGCTCAGATAGTTCGTTTCTTTTATTTTCTATGGGTTACTTCATTCAATCTAATAAGAATACAGCTCAAGATGTTTCGTTTCGTATATTTTCTGTAGGCAACGCCACTCAATCCGATTAAAATCTAGCTCTACATATTTAGCTTCGTATATTTTCTGTGGATTACTTCACTCAATTTGATTAAAATACAGCTCTAGATATTCTCTGTGTTTTTATTTCTACAGGCTACTTCGTTCTAATGTCGAAATTGGCCTTATTATCTAGGATATCTGCGATTGGCTCAGTTAGGAACTCGTCTCTCTGGTGAATGTCTTCAGATCACGTTTGAGTGAAGCAACCTGCAGAAAATATAATGAAATATGGAAAAATTAAATATCTGGAGATTTATTTTAATCAGATCAATTGGTGAAGCCCACAGGAAAGACACAAAACAACTTATATTAAGCTTCATTTTGATCAATTATTAACAATAACTGCTCCCTTCTTTTGTGAATGAATAAAAGAAGTGGGACGATAAGTCGGTTGTCAATTCAAGCAGATTATCTCGGATTATTTCTCTAACTATAGAACAGAATACCACGGATTATATTTGTAATCTGCTTTATGTAGTTAACAGTCATAGGAATCATCTTTACATCTTCTAAGTTGGCTTAAAGCTACTTTAACTATGACCCTTTGCGTCCTCTAGATTGGCTAGCAGGTAACTCAATGAAGAGACTTTTTTATTCTCTATTATCAGGCTTATTGAAGTACCCAATGACCCTTACATCCTCCGGAGTGGCTTACTGAACTAGAAGCAATCAATCTATCCTAGTTTAATGATGGAAAATCACGAAATGTTTTTATTGCTTATAGTCTCGACTAATGTTATTAATTGTTAAAACACATAATACTAACTATATTATTGAAAAGAGATTTCTTTGGCCAGGTATTTCAGTTTCTGTGGTTCCTGTCGTTCTAGAACACGACAAGCCCATAGCCAGACTATTTCTTTCGCAAGCAAAAAGAAGGGGCAAAAGTGATGAAATTGGCCAGCAGAATTTGTTAGGGGGTGGGGGGGGCGCTTTTCCCCCTGTAGGTACGGGCCTTTGTTTAGACCATTGGGTTCAAATGTGCACCACCCGAACTTTGCTGTCCAGTGCTCTTGACTTATTAGGATGGCAAACGAGTGATAGTTATAAGCTAGATATTTTGATAAGTTCGAGAAATCAAATGGCTCTATTATTTAGAAGGGTTTAATCAATAATATGATATTATTATCAGAGATAATTAGCGAGTACAGAGTAATTAAATCTATAACAATAAGTTTATATAAAAAAACACAATAACCAATTATCACCGTTTGACAGTTAGTAATATTAACAACTCAATCTACCGAGGTTTCCACATCCTAGGAACGTTTTTCTATTTATAGTCTTATATAAGTTATTTATATTTGCTATTAAAGCTATTAAATTTGTAAAAAGTTAATCGAAATCGCAAAGGTTTTCGGTCGTTACGTGATTTGATTGGCAAAGCAAACTAAATTTGCTAAGTTATCTGACCTGGATTTGCAAAGTTTCTTTAAGACTGGCAAAGTCATTTATGAAAATATGGCCCATTATCCATTACCATTCGGACTTGGTCAGATGTGTCGTTGTTTGCTTGTTTCTTTGTTTGGCTAGTTGACTGGCTGACCGGCTTACTTGGTTGTTTGATTGTTTGGTTTGTTGGTTGGTTGTTGGTCGGTCTGTTAGCTGTTTGTTTGTTTGGCTGGTTGACTGGCTGACCTGCTTACTTGGTTGTTTGATTGTTTGGTTTGTTGGTTGGTTGTTGGTAGGTCTGTTGGCTGTTTGTTTGTTTGGCTAGTTGACTGGCTGACCTGCTTACTTGGTTGTTTGATTGTTTGGTTTGTTGGTTGGTTGTTGGTCGGTCTGTTGGCTGTTTGTTTGTTTGGCTAGTTGACTGGCTGACCTGCTTACTTGGTTGTTTGATTGTTTGGTTTGTTGATTGGTTGTTGGTCGGTCTGTTGGCTGTTTGTTTGTTTGGCTAGTTGACTGGCTGACCTGCTTACTTGGTTGTTTGATTGTTTGGTTTTTTGGTTGGTTGTTGGTCGGTCTGTTGGCTGTTTGTTTGTTTGGTTGGTTGATTGGTTGGTTGGTTGAATTTTTGTTCGTTTGGTTGGTTGATTGTTTTGTTGGTTGATTGGTTTTTTGGTTGGTTGTATGGCTGACTAGCTGGTTGGTTGGTTGGTCGTTTGGTTGGTTGGTTGGTTAATTGGTTGGCTGGCTGTCTGGTTTGTTGGTTAATTGGTTGGCTGGCTGTCAGGTTGTTTGACTGGTTGACTGGTTAGTTGGTTTGCTGGCTTGTTAGATGGTTGTTTTGTTCATTATTTTGTTTATCTTGTACAAACGGATTCTAGAATCTAAAAAGTATAAAAATCAATTTTCACCTTGTTATTTAAATGATAGTTTTAATAGAAACAAATGTAGATGTCAGTTCTGAACTTGTGAATTATTACTTTTCATTTCAATTACTAAAAACAGGAAGCGGCTACATTTCCTATTGATAATTCATCATGCGGAAGAAATCATGGTGTTCCTTGAAACTGAAAGAGTGTAATAATAATAACTATATCAGCGCTACTGGCAAGATACAACAAAATCAATAATACTCTCAGTATATATAACATTTTTGATTTATTGTCTCTGGCCCCGCCCCTCACGCCTATTGACTGACAGCTGATTTCCGGTTTCACCGACAGCACTGTTCTTCCCTTTTCCAGGTTAAATGAAATAAAATGGAGATTTATGCCCTATTTTTCTATCCCGTATTGAGCCCTTGAAGTCAGTGTATTTCTGTGATAAGAATTGTCAAGGGATCACAGAGGATTTTATTTTCTAATGTAAAGTTATTTCTAAAGTTAATTGAGAGTAGATTAAGAGAATAATGGCTAGCCTCAGTTTAGCTCAGTCGACAATCCAATATACCTTATTTCAACCTTAAGACGTTTCCTCTTTATTATATCGAGGGGTCTTTAGCAGCACATGGGGTCATTTGCATGTCGCAACGCGATCCTGTACCACGTCAGCATCACTCATAAGCAAAGGAGCAACCTTATGAAAACTTCCAACACTATACACAAACTTTCGTTCCGTTTTTTATTAGCTTTTACTTTTAATTTGACGAACGTTCAAGAGGGCTGTCGTTAGACCCTAACTGGGGTGGCTATATTAAGTATAAAAGCTAATAAAAACGTCTGCCCAGTACTGAAAGTATTGAAGAATGTCTCTTTCAAATTGCATAAGATAGAGGATTATAGCTCTATATTTTCCCGGAGGCACATGCCTCTTGACTCAACTATAAAGGATTTACTTGGCCCCACTCAATCCAAAATTGTGCAGTTGCCACTGCCCCGACCTTCAATCGATATTCGACTCTGGACCTTCAGGAATCTTCTATCTCTCGTCTTCATTGGGGAGCCGCGGTGGCTCAGTGAGTCTTGTGAGTGAGTGAGTGGCTCTTGATCGCTAACCTAAGGGTCCATGGTTCAATTCCTAAATAGGTCGAGATAATACCTTCGGATTTTTCAACCCGGTTTCCCTCTATCAGTGATGAAGTAAAGAGGGACTGGCATGGAAAAAGCGTCTAGTCGTTCGGATGGGACAATAAACTGAGGCCCCATGTGCTACGGGCTGCGCACATTAAAGATCCTTCGACAGTTGGTAATCGAAAAATGCAGGTTAATGCCTCTGTCCTGACAAAATTTCCCTCATTGCACCCTGCCGTCTTCAATGGCCCACATGGTGCAGAAAATTACGTAAAATTCCATTTCATTTTTTCGTCATCAACAGCCAGACGGAAGAGAAGATTAGGAGGTAAACCCTAAGCTTGGGTTGAATATGCAAATGTTAACCTGCTTCCAGTGTCACCTCAATGTCTAGACTGACAAATTTCTAAAATTTTTACAATTTATGCAATTTTTACATTATATAAAACCTTTCAAGCGATAAATAATATCTAAATAGGACAAAGAGCATTATCTGTCAACAGGGTGGTTGAATACAAACGGCATAAGTTTTATATTCTACTGTTCTGTATCTTATTGGACTAATGAAATGAAATGGAGTTTTATATCCTACTGTTCTGTATCTTATTGAATCAATGAAATGAAATGGAGTTTTATATCCTACTGTTCTGTATCTTATTGGACTAATGAAATGAAATAGAGTTTTATATCCTACTGTTCTGTATCTTATTGAACTAATGAAATGAAATGGAGTTTAATATTTTACTACTATGTACTTTATTGGGCTAATGAAACAAAAGGGTTTTTATACGACTATCAAAATGAAATAAAATGGAAGTTGTATATATTACTATTCTGAATATTATTGGGCGAACGAAATAAAACAGAATTTTATATCCCGTATCTCATACCTTGTGTTATATGCACTCCTTGACGATGATCTTGGAGTTATTCTTCTTTCAATCGAGTTCATTTGAATTTTGTGTCTACAACTATGCCGGTTTTTATGCCCACCATTTTATTGATTTGGCAATTGAAGCTCAAAGTATGCTGAATAGTGTTTAGAATGCGCCTAGCCTAAGCGTGTTGGGTATTTTACATTGACTATTTATTCAGTATAATATTGGAATGTAGCATTTCTACATGCCCTACTTACAGCTCCAGGTAAAAACATGACGAGCCGAAAGGTAATACAAATTTTCAAGGTCTATCATCTCATTCAGTTCTTCTTTCATTCTATAAATAACAATCCATAGACAGACAAAATCTCAACAGAATGACATATCGAAAAGATGAATCACATTATCAATATTTGTCATTCATTCATTCTCTTGCAAAGTTTCAATCTCATTTGGTAATTCATAATTCATCGACAGACAAAATCTAACACACTAAATTTTACAAGGTTCGCAACTCATTGAATCGCCATATTTTTTCAATGCCACAATAACAATCCATCCGCAGACAAAAATAGAACAGATAACATTGCCTTGATTTGTCGTCTGGAAGAGACAATATACCGAAACCCCATGTGCATCCCCCGATAGTTGGATTTGTCTTGGCAAATATCTCCGTCATTGCACACTGCATGGCATTGTCCGTCTTCATTAGCCAAACAGACGAAGAATGCTAGGATTTAAAACTTCATTCATTTCATTTCATTTCTGGATCCATGGCAAGCGCTTTCGAGAGTCATCTAGCCACCCTTTTGGCATGATCCATAATCCATAGATAGATCAATTTTGTGGAAGGGTATAGTCAATACCCTTTCAAGTTCACAATTAATACTGTAATTGTGTTTCGGATGCAAAACAGTTTTAGATCAAACAAACGTTGAATATCCAGTAATTGGAAACTAACTTTGAAATAATGAATGCTTGTGGTTTTTTCACTAGATTCGGACAAGCTGTTACTAGCTAATATAAATTTAAACTCGGTCTTGCATGTGATCGTTTCTACAGTGTTGCATCTTTCTAGTTCAACAGCAAATAATGTTAGTATTGCCCATTCATTGCGATCGTTAGTACATGTATCTTCACATTATCAAGCCATTAAGAACTTCGTACTTGTACCTTGACTGCAATCGTCCCCTATCTTGTATCATGGAAGTTTGTAATGAAGCGATTTGATTGGATTGTACGCTAGCGAATACAGCCAGTCAGATGCTTCGACCAAAAAGCATGTGCACATAATGTGTACAGTCTTCCTGTCGAAGTCTCTGATTGGCTGTATTCGCTGCTGTACAGTCCACTAAAATCACTGATTCCGTGATACTAGAACAGTGGTTATTGTAGTCAAGGTATAAGACGAAGTTCGTAACACCTTGACTATTTTAAAGAGGCTTGGATTTCTGGTCAAGCATTCTCAAAAATATTACTTCCGGTTAGCAATTTGGTGTGATTGGTCTGTTGGCATATACCAACCTAATTATGAAGCTCGAGCAGCCCTACAATAGGTGAAGGACATGGTTGGGTCTCTTGTCGGACATTCCAATTTACAATGTATAGGCATAGGCGACGGAAGTTATGGGATTGGGGTGTTGCACCATAGATCATTAGGCCAAGGAGGAAGTGGAACTGAAATTAAAGATCAATACCTATAATATTTAAGACCTATTGTATGTTTAATCGATGTTTATGTGGATGAATTTGCAGTTTAATCAATCAGTAAGGCACCTGCATATCCAAGGAAACATCTGCATATTTCAGAGGGAAATATGTTTGTTTATATCATTTAAAGATGGGCTTCCTTATTTTTTAGTGTCAAATTAAAGATGGGTCTTCATATTTTTTAGTGTCAATATAAGCAAACTATTTGATAAATTGGTGTTTTTAATGAATTATCATGTATTCTTAATCATATCATTATGTTCTTATTGCATATGATTAAGAATTTTACCCAATCATAAATGTCCATGTATGTACAGTCTGGATAAACAAAACAATACTTTTTGACCTTTCTTGATCGGTCACTCTTTGGAAATCTGCTGGTAATTCTCTTCTAATTTAGCTAAGTATGAATTAATTATGGACATGTGAGACAAACTAGTATTTTTCCATTAGATTACCTCTACTTTCTATTCATACAAGTAGTAACATTTTCATGAATGAAAATAAGGGAACACATCTTTAACAATATAAATGAAATATTTCAGCAACTAGAAGATGAGAAGAGTATATGTGTCAGTGATTATTCCGAGGATCAGTTCAATACGAATTATGGATCTTTATTCCTACAACTACAAGAAGCCAAAGACGACTCGGACGATATTGTGGACTATTTGATCAGATCTTTTGAGGTTCTTTGGAACTCAGGTAAGAACCAGAAGTTTGGTTTATCTAAGAAAAATCTATGTATAACCATGCATCGCAAAACTTGTTAGAACATAAAACTATCAAAAGACACCCGAAAGCATTTGTGGATTGCATCTCATAGGCGATCAAGCGTGGGAGAAACGATCAATCGATACATCTATCCGTCCATAGGATTATCGATCCATTAGTCAATTGATCTATCTATCATTAGATCCATTGGGAGATTGACTCATCTATCCATATATTCATCTTTCCATCTGTCCAACTATCCAAACAATCATCTGGTCCCAGTGGCGGAGCCAAGTTTTGCGGGAAAAAATCTCATTACTAGGTTAGAGATTCTGGCATTCTCAGATATCTCGCCCCCCACCCCCCCTCCCTCGGTCGTAAACCTGGCTCCGCCACTGTCTGGTCCTTGCATCCATCAACATATAGTATTATTATTTATCAATTATTATCATTCTTATTCCAGCGTGGATGACGTGTATATTGTTATTATTGTTTGCAATTCCCATTTCAATGCTGGTCGTTGGTGAGTCTTTTTTCTTTATTTCGGATGAAAACCTGGGGGGAGGGGGTATCATTTTTTGAGTCGGATGATGCATGATAAGTTGGAAAATCGTGGAAACTTTTAACTTGAAAGTTGGTGCATCCCAGTGACTCTGTTCTTACGCACATCTAAAGTTTTCGTTGTCAGCTCAAACAAAGAGCACTTTTGATAGGGAGCTAAACCTTAAATAGACAATAATAGAAACAAAATACTATTTCTTTCCTCGGTTTTGTGTCGATTCTTCTGTCATTTCATAAAATCTGTTTCAAATTTCGTTTGAAATTCAGGTTTATGACCAATGTCGTTTAGAAATCGTCACACAAAAAAACTCTAAAAAATTTGACGTTAAAACCGTTTACTTGCAGGTAGCTCGTATCGACAAGATTGTCCAGTGGAACCTACAGTGCCTTTATATCTGTTAATTTTCGGTGCTTGTGGATTTCTGGAAATCATAATATTGCTCTGGCGACAAAAACGATCTAGGAATAATGGAGGGTTTTATCAGGATCTATCAGATGATTTTGACGATGCAGTTATCGCACGGAGCGTGATGTTTACTGGATATTTGTTCATTTGTGTGATATTTTCAATGTTTATTGTTTTAAATATTTGTATATTTTCGACTTGGAAGCCGAATTTTACGCAGATACTCCACGAGCCGAATAACTGGTGCAACGAAACGTTGTATATGTTCACTTTTTACATTTTACTGACCTGTTATTGCCTTCTGCTGGTTTTTGTCGTCTGCGTTACTGTGATATGTATTGTCTATACTATTGACAGATGTCGTAATAGAAAAAATTGATTATCTGCATTTTGGGTACTTTCGTCAGTAATGCCTATTCTCTAGCGAATTCCTAGAACATCTTGGATCACGTGAGCTTCCTTCACTATTGGAATACTGTTATTACTTACTCTAATCTTGATAAGGATCAAAAATGAGAATCCATGTATAGACAATCGCGAAAAAGGTTGGAAAAAGCAAGACTAGACCCGGACAACTGGCCACATATTCTCGAAACGATCTTAGCGCTAGGATGTCCTAGGTTCTTATCTTCTATCATTGATTCTAGGATATCCTAGCGCTAAGATCGTTTCGAGAATACGTCACCTGGATACTCGCTCTATATGGATACATAACATACGCCTGTGAAGTGATTCGACCTATACTGTTATGGACGTTTGGATCTTGCTCTGAACTAATACTATAGCGTTTATCGCATGCAACTGTTCGACTCATTCTCAACATGTACAAATTGAATGTCAATCGTTGACACTAGCCGCCATTGTCGCAAGAAGAACAATAATTACCTAAATGAGAATTCTTAACCTCAAGCAGATATTGAATCCTGACAAACGTGTTATTTGTGGCGTAAGGTGGAGGATGGGGGCGTTATCAAAGACCGGCCCGGCTCCGCCCTCCTCCCTCCCCCGCCGCCCACGATTTTAAGTTTTTTATGGTTGTATATAGTGTAAGGATATTGCCTGTGAGCCCCATTTTAAAATTTTGAGGCCCCTACCCTACCGCTCGCCAATGAAACGCAACTGTACTGCAGAGCTCGAGTCCCTATTTCGCAATGTATTTATTTCCCGGTTTATTTTATCCCGTTATCTGTGATATTGTCCCCACCCCACACCAACTACAGTTTGCCACTTCAAAAAAATTAATGACGTCTTTACGCGGGAAATTAAAACGTCATTTTGAATATTGAGTGACGTCATGACATCTGCAAGCCCCAATTTTCTCTTTGACTTTACAGAAAGGTTGGACCAAACAATTAGCTTTGCACCTGGTGATTTTCTCGATTTTTAACGATTTTTCGAAACTTAAAATTACTTTTAATGTGTATGTGATATTGAAGTCGAACAAAGATGATTATGCACGTGCTTTGACGATTCAAAACATAAATAAGACCAGTCCATTTTGTTTTGGGGAAGAATAAGTAACTATTGAACATGTACGACATATATTATGACTACTTCTTTAAATATAGAATGGACTGTTGATGTTTTGGATCAAACCCAAATGTGCTTAAATACTTTTGCTCGACGAGACAAGATTTCTAACGATTATTTTTCTCTGTTGAAAATAAAGTGTTTTACAAATGTTTTTAACTTACAAAAATATCCTCAAACAATCTTTACTATGTCAAGCTATAGCGAATTGCGTCTGATACCTTAACTGCAATAGCCACTTTTCTTGTTTCATGGAAGTTTTTAAATGCAACGATTGTACATTAACGAATACAGCACGGGATTACACCATAGCCAAATTTTTACAACCTTTCTGTCCCTGATTGGTTGTGGTAGCGTTACGATCCAATCAAATTGCTGCATTTCGTGATATAAGAAAGGTAGCAGTTGCAAGCAAGGTATTAGTCGCAGTTCGTTATAGGTCAACAAAGTTCAGTTCAGGTTTAATCTAAACCAAATTTCAGTTTTCATATTGTGAAATGATATAATGGACCCAATTATTTCTAGACTAACCGGTCTATAGTTGTTCAGATAGAGCTGAGAACATACTATTTGGAAGGAATATTGGAGTAGCAAACTACGAATTGCACCCGACAGTGGCTCAACTAACATAGGGACTGGTTGAACCACGGGCCTCTATCGCTAAGGAGGTTCCAAAAAAAAACAAAATACAAAATTTTAATCAAAATGTACTAAAGTATGTATCTTAATGGAAAGTCTTTCAATCTTTAATCTAAGATTAGTAGAAAGCGAGACGGAGGGCACGCGAGTCAGGGTAAGGACTGTAGAAAGTGAGGGTGTGGAAAGTAGAGTCGTAGGGCACGCGATTCTTAGCGTGACAGTAGAAATTAAGGAAAGTTGAAAGAGAGATATTGTACAGAGAGAGACTCCTATTGTGAAGGTGTCAGTCATCAGAGGCGTATATGAGGGAAGTGGAAGATGCAGAGAGAGTCGGTGGGGATATTCTCTTTTATTGAGAGGTACTCATTGTACCTCTGTGCTTCGAATTACAGTACTCCGAAGACTTATTATGTGTTGTCGTCATTTATCTTCTAATCTAATTCAGTACGGTCTAATATTGGATTTAAATTATTTTCATAAGTAGTCTCAGTGGTCGAGTAAAATTGCGGAGAATTCCCTCCCTTGTAGTAAAACGTATATCAAACGTTACTATATATATTTATATCTTAAATAATATAATCAAGTAATCAAATAATCAAATTGTAAAATAAGATATAATGTAATCATTTTAGACTAAACGTTCAATAGTGGATTAATATTATCAGTTTTGACAAAAATTCTCATCACAAAATATCCAGTTCGATTTGATTCGCAGATCGTCGTAACAAAATTTAATTTTCGCTAATCATAAGAAATATTGGGTAGCAAAAAGTTATTTTGCGATGCAATACCGCTTAACTTGTGGATGGGAGAATTTTATTAATTGTATTAAGCCTTTCAAGGGAGAGAACTACAAAATTGGAATGATCAACTTGCTTCTCGTACAGTGTCGGAATTCAGTCACGAATACTACAGTTCAAATGGAAGCCAGCTATAAAAGCTGGAGAACGATGCGTTCGTTTACACTGTTCATGTTGCAAAAGCTGAAGCCACCATATTGCAGTTGAGAATTGGGTTGTTAATTCTGTAGCATTTCAGAGAGAATTGGAATAGCAGCCTCAAAATCAACGCAAAGACATTCTGAGACTAACAGTACTATTTTGAGGCTGATGTTCCAAATCTCTGAAAAAAATTAAAATAATTTTAAAAAAGTTTGCTCAGACAATGGCGTATTATGGGGCCGTTTGCAAGCCCATTAAATACAGAACATTGAGACTTCATTATATATAAATTGAACAAAGTGAACGAGTGTAAAATGAAATTTGAAGTGCTTGTTTTGAGGGAGAGAGCAAAGTCTATAAACATTTGGTATAGTATGTTGGCCTAATTCGAAAACTTTTGGAAGTTGGAGTCTTGGGGGTTAGTAGACTTTGAAGATTAGGGGTCTGGCGTTGGTTGAGTGAGGGCTGGGGGTCTTAAGTTTCGGGATCAACAGTCCTGGGTTTGGGTCTTGGAATTTGAGAGTCTGTGAGTGGAAGTATGAAGGTTAGGAGTTTGGGGATCTGGAAGTTAGAGGGGTATGTGTGGGGGTGGGGGGATTGGGGTGGAGTTAGACGGCTGTGGGGGTTGGCTCTGAAAGTTAAAGTCTGGGCGTTGTCGGTCTGGATTTAGCGGATCTTCCAAAAATGCACAGACAATACCAAGTATTGTAAACCATTCAAGCTACCATATTAGTGAGATTCAACCTATATTATTTGTAAACACCAACTGGTTTTAAGAATTAAACTAAGACAGTTTGGGTGTCGACTTGTCCAGCAAGTATTGTTTCACTTTCATTAAGGATAGCCGAATATGTCATATAGTCTTTAGTCTTGATAAGATCGCTCTACAGAAGAAAAGTAAGAAAGAGTAGACTAATTTCACTATCCCGTCACTCTGACGTAGGAATATCGCTATAGCAAAGATTTCGTAGTCGGAACAAAGATAACAATCGGTGTTCCCGATACACATACCGAAATAATAAAACCCCTTTACAATCCCTTTAAACCTTGCACCTTTTCTTTGGGGCCGTTTCTCTTTACCAATCCCTAGTTTTGTGCATGTATTAATATTTACAAAACATAATGACTACATAAAGCGAGTTGATTGGCTGGGCTGAAAATGACGTCGACTACGAGATCTTTGCTATAGCGTTATTCCCACGTCAGAGTGCCGAGGTAGTGAAATTAGTCTTCTGTAGAGCGATCCCGTCAAATCTAAAAGTTATACGACATATTACCTTTAAAATGTCACGTGATTTTCATCCCAGCCAATCAACTTGCTTTATGCAGTCATTATGTTTTGTAGATATTAACACATGCACAAAACTAGGGAATAGTAAAGAGCATGCCCCCAAGAAAAGGGGTATAATTTTAAAGGGATTGTAAAGGGGTTATCTTATTTCGGTATGTGTATCGGGGACACTGATAGCATCAATTAGCACCATTCCAATTTTCTACCAGACGTCTGTGGTTCCCGCAATTCCTCTAAAACAAGGTGTTAGATGATAATCGCGAAGGATATTATGTGTTAAAGCATATTTTGCGATTAGAGATGATATAAATGTCCCCGATACACAAATAATTTGTAGAAAACCTCTTTACAATCCTTTTAACGACGATGAATGGGAAACAGCAGCGTGGCAAATTACCCCCACCATCCGTATTTACATAGTATACATGTATCTTATTCTAAGATCGACAATGTTATAATCGCTTTTTAAAATTTAAATACAAAAAAGAAAAGTAATGTGTTGAAGGGATTATTCAATGCGTGTCCATATTGAATGAGCTACATTGTGTAATATTGTTACTCTCGAACAACGGGTTATTAACATTTTTTAAACATTAGCAATAAACAAGCTTTGTGAATATTTGTGTCAGCTATTATTGTCAATAGAGGTGTAAGAACAGATTTGACCTAACCTGAGTCATAGTGTGAGAACTTTCTATGATATTTGGAACATTGTGGGCCAGATTATTGTCCCACAAAGCCGGATTCGGGGATTTTTTCAATGGACTTATCGAAATCTGGATTTATCCTAGACGTTTCTAGGATAACATACAAACTTTTAGAGTCAGGATTTATCTAGGATTTTAACTCTTCACTGCACAGAGTTTTGTAGTTTGGATTTTAAAACTACCGTACCATTTTTACAAGAGAGAGAACAAGCATTCCCCGGGTTTTCCGATTATCATTTTTTCGAAGGATATAATATCAACTGTATGAAATGAGAGATCTAAGTATGCCTTCGAAATCAGGTAGGTCAAAGAATTTGGTGTTGGCTTCAAAAGGACATACGGGCATAACGTTTTGTTTCGGATGAATTGTGTTCTATTTCGAGACTGGTGCACATTTCAGTTTATTCAGGTCACAAATGCATAGTTGGCTCAACAGTTGGGCATAGGGAACTACGAATGTCACTGTAAAGCGTTATCTTACAAACCACAAGCACAGAAAAAGGACGTAAAACAATTTCAATTTATTATCTGTCTGCAGAAACTTGCCCTTTGTCCATGGCCCAGGCGGACTGTTTGACATATTTGACCAAGGCTTTGATCCTGTCGGCAATGAGATCTTCATTTATGGATTTCTCTTTCGATTGGGACGCCTTGATCTTCTACTTCTGGTAAAAAAAAACGAAACAAAAGATACAAATATACTAAAATAAACATGGACCAAATTGAAATCTATTTTGATATGTTTTAGCTTATGAATATGAGGACGGAAGAGTGTACAAAGTTCATGGGGTCGGAGGTCATTCATCCGGATCCTCAGCTTACTCTTATTCCAGCCATTCGAGTCAAAGATATCAACCGGAAGTAGTATACCATAGCAACCCTGCCTACCCACCTCATACCTACAGTACTAAACCTTACGTCGTAGTAAGTCCCAAATTTCATTATTTCATTCTGGACACAACTGTTATGCACCAAGCATAATCAGCTAGCTAGTTGTACACAGAAAACTGTCATTGTACCAAGCTCAATCTGTTTGCTAGTTGTACACAGAAAACTGTCATTGTACCAAGCTCAATCTGCTAGGACACAGAAAACTGTCATTGTACCAAGCACATTCCGTCAGCTAGTTGGACACAGAAGACTGTTATTGTTCCAAGCACAATCTGTTAAATAGTCGGACAGACAACTGTCATTGTACAAAGCTCAATGTGTTAGACACGAATCCTTAGTTTGCTCTAAAAAGGACTGATAACCAAGGAATCGCAAGGATGAAAACTTAATTTTGGTAAAGTCTTTATTATGCATATATCTACGTCTAGAAAACGTATGTATTTGTACGGTATTCCAGATTAACCAGCCAGTCAATAGAGACGCGGTCATCCAGTTCAGACCAAACGACTACTTTCCATTTTCACTGTTTACATGTCTATGTTGTTTTTGTCCAACTGGTTTGGTGGCTTTGTACTACTCTTGGAAAGTAAGTAAATCAAACTAACAATGAAACATAGGCTCAAGTCGACCTTGTGACTGACAGAATTTGAGAGCTACTGAATTTTCAACGACTGCTAGCAACTAGCGACATCTGGGAAAATCTGATCAACGCAGGGTTTAGTCGAGCTGAACACACACGTGCTAAGACCGTTGCAAATTATTTTCATCTTGTTAAAAAATCAAACACTGAGTTCTTCGATTGCACTTAAACAAAGACAAATTCTTTAATGCTTTCCTGACATTTAAAATCTGGTGCCATTTCGGTAATTTGTTGAATAAGTTCTTGATGGTTGTTAAAGTCTTTTCACTATTATCAGAGCTTGGGAGTTTGTAAAACGTAATCATCTTAAACTGGCGTGAAACGGTGTCAGGTTTGGATAGGCTTGGATTGGATCCACCCATCTATGAAAAGTTCCTGTTCAAAACATATCCATATATTGCTCTGTTTTCATATTGAAACAACGCCACCTTTGTACCCCTTCGATGCACGCGCAAAATGGCGCCATTGTGTCTAATGTATTTATATGCCAAAAAGATGAGATTTCTTTTTCAAAATTCAAGTAAATTTGTTGGAAAGTTGGGTATCCACATCTACATTTCAATATACACCAACATCAGAATATCAAATTCAAAACAGTACTGAAATTCTGTGTATTATTATTTTATTGTTTCGTTTTTTCAAAAAAAATTTAATTTCAATTTTTCGTTTCGTTTTTTTTGTTTTCAGTCGAGAAAAGCAAGTAGGAGGTTGGATTTTAACCTTGCCCTGGAAGATGGTAAATGTGCCAAAACGCTTGGTATCGTCAGTTTGGTAATAGGAATAATTTTAATCATAATGGGAATAATCTTACTGATTGTGTTCTATGCTTTTGGCTTCAACAAGCAATAGTCGTAGTAGCCGACTGAACGTTCATTTGTTTAAAGGTGCCCTCACACCATAGCTATTACCAGTTGCGTATGGTTGCGAATAATGAAAGTGGCCATATGTAACGAACGTAACTCATAACTCAGTGGCATGAGTGCTGCGTTCGAAACATACTCGCAACAATAGGCAACTGGTGATCTCTAGAGTGTGAGGGACTGCCATAGGCCATTTTCTTTTGAAAGTGTATATATACGAGTATAATTTCACTTTTTCAAAAATGATTGTGAACCTCTATAGGTATGCCAGTCTTAAGGCATGGTTGTTGCCAGTTCGTTTTTCTGTTAATATTTATAATGCCCAAAACTTGTCAATTATTTTATATTTTGATGTCATGTAAATGAGAGGGTTCGGATGAGATTTAAAACCCAACCACCCAACCGACCCGTAAGGGTCTTTTACTTCTCCTAAATGTCCATTTCCATTTGATTTCTTCGGGGTTTTTTCCGTTTTCTTCTGTCTGAAATTAGATTACAGGAGGAGTGTAGACGCCTCTGTACAGAAACAATCCCCTCAACTCGATTGGTGAGTTCTACGCGTTGTAGATTCATGGTATCATACGAAAGTTCAATAAAACAATTTGAAATGGGGGTTAGAAGCGTTCCACATGTGTTGAAGAATTCAAAATAAAGGAGAAAGCAAGAGAAGGGAAAATTTCGAATGTGACACATCTGGTTCCGTACCAAGCGATTGAGGCCGAATTTCGAACAGGCGGAACATGTTCCCAACTCACCAATCGAGCGCCACCATGCTTCAGGAAGAAATACTTTAGTGGGAAGCTTATGGTCTAATTAATTGCGTCCATTATAGATTGTTGTCCTCTGTAAATTTTTATATTTGATATTAGGAATTTAATAAGATAGAAGTATAACATATCTTGCCATTATATTTATATATTCTCATGTTATATAGCGATTTGCATCCATCCCTAATCGGTATAATTTTTATATAATTTTATATAATCATATATTGTTAGATTATAAACTATCTCTACAATTATATCACTGTTATTTGAATCCAGCCGGGGTCAACTGTTCTTTGATTTCACCCCCAAATTGTTAAATCATATTAAATATCCCCAAATTCTATCAGAAACTTATTGCCTAAAATACTGAAAATCTAAAAGGAATTTCTTAAAATGCTTTAGATAATTAGGTCTATGGCCCCGTTGTTGAGGTGACGAGCAGTCATGGTTGGCGATTTTTGTCGCCGTCTTGAATCTTGAGTAAAATCTCGCGTGTGCTTCCACGACAAGATTATCTCGTTGCCGACAGGATCTGTGATATCAAACAAGTTTGGTAATTTATTGTCGCCAATAGTTTTATCGTCTGCAAGACAGAGCGTCATCATCCAATCAGATTCATTTTCCTTCCAATTGCATGATCCGCACGTGATTATCATTAAAGTAACTGGAGATTTTTGTTTCCTCGTGTGCCCGCAGCTGGTCAGTGAAACTTTTGACAAGACTCTTGTCGGCGACAAAAATCGCGGATGAATGACTTACGGTGGTACTGAGTAGAAGCATGTGTAAATAGAGTTATTTCCCTTAGCATATAAATTCCCCAGCATAAAGACCTGACTGTGGACATCGCTTCAATCGAAAGTGTTAAAGGAAGTTTGAAGGAGGATTTTAAAACTTTTCATGTGTATAGGGGACATTGTAAGTAACCATTAACACTATTAAAATTTTCAAACAGACGTCAGTTAATAGCGAAGGGCCTTATATGTCATTAAGCATATTTCGCGATTAATGACGTCATCAAACACTTAGTTTCAGTGGAATTGCAGGAACCACAGACGTCAGATTGAAAATTGGAATGGTACAAATTAATACTATCAGTGTCCCCGATACACATGCTATTTTTACAAAAACTCTTTACAATCCCCTCAACCATCGCACTCAAGACCAAATAATTCTTCATCAAAAATCTGAACAATAGTGTGCTTTGCACTCACTGTAGGTTGCGACATCCGTCAAAATATATCGACTCATTTTCAAGGCCAGCTGATATATGATACATAATAGATAAGTATTTCGCTAAATATGTCAGTGTTGTTTATTTCACAACGAGGGGCTGGTGGCAACATAAAAAAATATGTTAAAAGATAACAGAATACTAAATTTAGGACCTTATGCAATTTTATTTATTATCTTAATTTTCATTTTGAAATACAGTATAATCAGTCTAATCAAAATAAGACCAAACTTTCGTTCGGTTTTTTTTATTAGCATTTATTTTTTATATAGCCACTTTAGTTAGGGTCTAACGACAGCCCTCTTAAACGTTCGTCAAATAAATCTTTTGGCCTAACCTGATAAACACCACGCCACAAAATGCCAGCGCTGGAGAGTGTAGAAATTTGATTGGTTGAAGCAGTCGTCATCGAGTTAGACCTAACGGTTAATTTGATAAACGTTGAATAGGGCTAATTTAAATTAGACTGCAATATAATGATTCGATCATAAGATATAGTAATCTAGTAATCCTAGTAGACAGGTAATTCGACAATTCTTTTCGTTAAGCTGAACGCTTGTGGACCCTATGAACTTTATTTTTGGAGAAGGGGGCTTTAAAGACGTGAAGGTGGCGATTTCATTCAATGACATAACGTTACCTTTTTCAAAGTTTTGAGCCTCGTTCTGATTCAACTGAATCATCTTCACAATGTCGAACTATTACGACTTACTAGTAGTACTCATACCTTGACTGTAAAAGCCACTGATCTTGAAGCACGAAATGCATCGATTTGATTGGATTGCGCGCTAGCGAATACAAATAATCAAAACTCTCGACAAAAAGACTGTAACCATTATGGCGTCAGCCTCTGATTGGCTGAATTCGCTAGCGTACAATCCAATCAAATCGTTTCATTTATAAACTTCCATGATACAAGACAGGTGACTATTGTAGTCCGAAGTTCGTAATAGCCTGGAAGAAGGGCAACGCCATGCGTGTAATTTTGCAGGACAGTAGTATTAGCCTACTTTTTAAATTACTTAAGTATCTTTCACTTGCACAGCCTGTGACACATGAGGCCTCTGTTTATTGTCACATCCGAACGAATAGACGCTTTATCAGTCCCGCTCCTGACAAGAGAAATACCTGGCTGATAGACGCAAAAGTTTAATGATAACACAGTGTGCAACTAGAGATATTTTAACAGGACTGGTGTATTAGCCCACTCGTTTTCGATATCCAGTGCGAGGTTTGTTTTGTTCTTGGACAGCTTTGTATTTGACTATAGTAAAATACTCTAACTAATCAATAAATCTAAAAGTGTAGCCTACATTATAGTATATATTTTAAGTAACTTTATACATCGTTAAGGTATAGTAATAATAGGCCTACTGCAGCCAATTCAACTCGAGTGTACAGGTGGGCTGGGGTTAACTATAGCCATTCATAACAGTTTCTCCGAAATCACCTATTAATGATAAGATTTATCTAGCTATCTACACAGTATCTCGTCCGGAACTGGTATACATGTATTTAATCATATTTATTTTTAAAAGGTGATTTGGTTTAAACAACACAGGCTGATAACCTATTGACAGAAACTGGTCATCGCAGACGTCATAATCAATCCCTGTTCGAATATAGATTAACTAGTCTTCCGTAAGAATAACTAAAATTGTGAAATATTTACATTCAACTGGACGGGCAAGTTGACAATCTCAAATACCCACCTTATAGGCAGGGGCAGGGACTTCGATCACGTGACTAAAGTATATTTTGCATTCAACTGAATATCTACAAAAGGAAGATTCAGCTGTGGGATATTAGGATTTTTGATTTGTGAAGAACAGCCATCATGTCTCAAGGAGGTACGTGCACATTTTTTCATTCTTTTTTGTTCATTATTTTTTTGATTCAGAAAATGAAAAATTATACATTTATACCGAAGTGGTCGATGTTTTTATAAGAAAATTGAATTCATGTTTGTTGACCCGAAAAAACTAGGATAATAGGGGAAAATGATATTGAATATTTTGTACACTTGGCTAGACTAATGATGATGGACAAAGCTTTGCTATGCGCAATGAGGAAAATTCTTCAGCCACAGCTGCACTTGCTTATTCTTGTATCTTAAGGGATAGAAATGCAAATAACCGCATGGTTTCTAAAAGTCTAATTTAAATGAATTGTAAGAGAGCAAGACGTCAGATTTAAATTATTTAAAGTGTTACGGATAGCTTAAAGGAAGTTTATCACCTGGTAAAGCTTTTATAGCGGACGGTTGATTCTATGATTTTGTTTCATATGTTCAGAAATTCGTCCTTGAGCATAAATTAGCAAGAGAATTTTATTCTCTCAGGAATTCCTGAGCTCGGCCAGTGCCTTTTGATGATACCAATCTCTACTGCGCTAACGCAAAAATGTTCCAAAACAAAGACCTGTGAATGCTAAACGACGGTATTTATTGTGTGTTTTATTTGTTATTATCCTAAAATTTAGCCGCTATTAACTTTCTACCTTAATGTTTGTTATTTCTACTAAGTATGTATTTGGCCGCGGGCAACCACAAAAACACCTTGATTTATGCAGCATATTTACCTTCCTGAACACAACAATTAATATATAGTGCAACTGTTTTAGTTAATTATTCAGACAAATACGCATGTTTAAAGAGGCAAACCCAAAGGTTTAAAGAGGCAAACCCACAGGTTTAAAGAGGCAGACCCACAGGTTTAAAGAGGCAAACCAATGTTCACTTGCAAAGGTAGTAGTAGCCAGTCCGCGGGTGTTTTCAAGAATTTTGGGCTGGACAAATGCTCTTTCACCCGATATTGGTCACCAGCGGAATTGGTAATGCTCGCTCACAACTACTGCTGCCACTCTGTATTAGGGTTTCATCCCATTGAGCGTCCACAGAGCTTATTTATAGCATGCTTATGTGGTATAATTAACACGAAAAAGTGCACAATACAAAAATAGAATTTCGTTATGAGGAAATCTTTTACAATAGCGGAACAAATATAACATACGGATATTAAAACGGAACTTGAATCATGTTGTTACTCACGAGTTTCACGATGTGCAATCTTCAGACAACTGACCTACGTCAGCGTTCCTACTTATACATATAAATTTAATACACATTTCTGATTCAAATTTTCCTACCAATATTATCAACAAAGTACATAGGTGTTAAAGTAAAATAAAATATAATCGATTTATTAAAAAAAATAGAGCAATGTCAAGGTCGCTATATTCAAACTTCCAGTAACATCTGTCACACAATATAATAATCAATGATATCGTTCTCAGAGCAGTATACAGTGAATTAAAATAGTGATATGTTGAAGGGAGAGCTGGAAGAAACCAATGATTTGACAAGGATATTAACTTAGGTTCCCTAGGATCCTGTCTACCAGCTGGTCAAACCAGGAGTGGGAAATTAAACTCCATTTGATTTCATTAAAGGATAGATATGTCGACATAAAAAAAAAACTTTATTAAAAAGCCTCTATAGGTATGTTGCTGTCAAGTGTTATGTCAAACCGAAAAAGAAGGGTCTTCTTTTGTTACAATACAAATAGATGAAATTTAGGTCATGAAACAGGTTACAACGCCCTTAATGGCAGTTGCGTCTTTAATTCCCTGTAGCCACTCACCATTGCATATTTAGGGTCAAGTGAGGGGCGTCACCTCAATGTATTTGATGAAATAATAATTCGAAAGAAAATGTTTTTGAAAATATCATCAAATTTGACGGTCAATAGAACTTGCTGTACTAATTATTTTTAGTAATACGAGATAGTCTCCTTTTCTACAAAGTAGTACACTGTTGTACTATTAACTGTATATAAAAACACTAGACATCACCTAACTCTGGGTTATATTCTAGAAGGCGATCCACTGTTGTTCCATTAACTGTATATAAAAACACTAGACATCACCTAACTCTGGATTATATTCTAGAAGGCGATCCACTGTTGAACTATTGTCTGTATATAAAAACACTAGACATCACCTAACTCTGGGTTATATTCTAGAAGGCGATCCACTGTTGTACTATTGTCTGTATATAAAAACACTAGACATCACCTAACTCTGGGTTATATTCTAGAAGGCGATCCACTGTTGTACTATTGTCTGTATATAAAAACTCTAGACATCACCTAACTCTGGGTTATATTCTAGAATGCGATCCACTGTTGTACTATTGTCTGTATATAAAAACTCTAGACATCACCTAACTCTGGGTTATATTCTAGAAGGCGATCCACTGTTGTACTATTGTCTGTATATAAAAACTCTAGACATCACCTAACTCTGGGTTATATTCTAGAAGGCGATCCACTGTTTTACTATTGTCTGTATATAAAAACACTAGACATCACCTAACTCTGGGTTATATTCTAGAAGGCGATCCACTGTTGTACTATTGTCTGTATATAAAAACTCTAGACATCACCTAACTCTAGGTTATATTCTAGAGAGTGATCCACTGTTGTACTATTATCTGTATATAAAAACTCTAGACATCACCTAACTCTGGGTTATATTCTAGAGAATTGTCCACTGTTGTATTATTGTCTGTATATAAAAACACTAGACATCACCTAACTCTGGGTTATTTTCTAGAAGGCGATCCACTGTTGTACTATTGTCTGTATATAAAGATACTAGACATCACCTAACTCTGGGTTATATTCTAAAGGGTGATCCATCGTTGTACTATTGCTTGTTCATAGAAACACTGTGGGTTAGGTTATAGAGGAAAGATCTTTGCTATAATATACATCCGTTTCTGGGTTAGCTTATATTCCAGTGACTGGCTTAGTTCCGTGTTATAATCTGGTTACACACCAGGCATCACAGAACTCTGGTTCACATTTAAGATAGTGATCCACTGTTGTATTATGCATCACCTAATTCTGGTTTACTTTAGATTCCAGTGATTGATCAAGTGCTGTGCAATTGTCTTTGAGAATGGTTCACTGTTTATATAAAACATCGAACATCAGTTTAATCTGGTCCACTAATATAGGTGTATTGTTAATTTACAGGTCAAGGATATCCAATGCATAATTATGCTCAACAACAGGGACCACCTGTGGTAAGTGTGATATTCTGATCCTGTCCACTCCCCTGTTAATCTTTTCTAACCATGTCATTACTCTGGGTTACTCGAGTCAAGGAGTTGCACCCTTTATATTAAAACTCTGGATATGACCTACCTCACAGAAAAGTAGGACGTAAAACTCCATTCATTTCATTTCATTTATGACCTCAGATTTTCTACTTTTCAAATTTTGTCCTCTCGAAACTTCAATACTATTTCCTTGGAATGTGTTGCTTGATATGTTTTAAATTACAGGTCTCCCAAACCATAATAACTACCAGACCTAGCGACTATTTTGGGTGTGCTCTATTCACATGTCTGTGTTGTTTCTGGCCAACTGGTATTGCCGCTCTGGTATTTTCATGTAACGTAAGTATCCAGGGTGCAGCGGCTCGTCCATGCACCAAGAGCAAAAAACCAAAACATGAAAGATTTTGTTCAAGGTTTCCTTATTTGACAAATTTTCCAGCAGGAGCATACTCCTAAGGCCCAGCTCCCCTCCTCAAGATTTGCTGTGCGCTTTCGTCGCTTGTTGTTTCCAAAAACCCTATTTTTGCAGTGGCCAAGTAAAATAATTGGCCAAAGATCAGCTGGTAAAGCATCTTCATAAACCCTCATAGTATCCTAGTCTTTCTTCTTTCAAAACAAAATCCGATATGTCCAAGTCCTATAAACAGACCCAGTTGAGTGAGCAGTAAGAGGTATAAGGTTCATAACCCGACGACCCCCCTCTGCCACTAACGACACCCACCTCATTCCATTCAATCATACTAAATTCCAGAATACTCATTTCAGTCCAGGTCTGCAGCAGATCGAATGGATTTTGCCCAAGCAGAGAACGATGGACGAATGGCCAAGATCTTTTCAATCATCAGTTTAGTGATTGGTCTGGTCTGGATGATAGCTGTTATTATATATGTGGTCGTCGTTTTTGTGGTCCTGGTTGACACGGTCAATAAGGCAACAAACGACTATTATGCATAAAATGTGGATCCCTTTTCTCAAATACGATGATCATTTGTCGTTTGTCAGTGGTGTTTCTTGGTCGGTGAGTGTGTGTGAGGGGGAGGGGGGCATGGTGGTTTCCCGGAACTGGCCCAGTTGTAACCCCCCACCCAACACACACACAATTTCAAATTTTTATCAGTTTAAATAGGGAAATATGTGTCAGTAAGCCCCCATTGACAATTTTGTGGCCTCTACTCGACCCCCTTTTTTATAGAAACGCCGTGAGATATTTCGCAATATAAAATTCTACACTGACGACAAATTTTGACCGTAAGATTTTGAGAGACATGGGTCTCGGATTATATTCCATGCAGCCAGGAACTATTCTGTGAGAGCCTATTATACATGCTCATTTTTTAATTATTTTCAAGATAACATTTCTATTGTATATTTGTTTGCTCCTAAATTTATTTCTTGTAAGAGATACACTTAACAGCCCCCTCAATTCAGACTATTTCAAGCAAATAACTCTGACTCTGGGTTATAAAGCAATAAGTAATAATAATCACGCAATGGATGAAATGACACTTACTAGTATGATATTACAATTGGTATACATACAATTAATTTGTAATAGTTAATATTTTGTATCTTATTTTTTTGTAATAAAATTGTTTTATATATATTTTGTATTTGATATGTCAAGCTTGGGTGCCTCTAAGCCATATCATGTTCAGCGGCATCTCCACAATATCAAGCTATCACGAACTTCGTACTTTTACATGACTGCAATAGTCACATTTCTTGTATAATGGAAGTTTAAATGGATTTGATTGGATAGTACGCTACTGAGGCCTCGCTGTGATCACTGAACAATAATGTTTTCAGCATTTCTGTCGAGGGCTCTAATTGACTCACTGGTGTACAGTCCAATCAAATCGCTACATTCCGTGATTCAAGGACTAAGTGCTTGATAACGTCACTAATCGCGAAGGGCTAGTGTGATACAAGCTTATTTCGCAATGAGTGAGGTCATCTAGTTTTGGTGGAATTGCAGAAACCACAGAAGACTCTATCATCCAGTTTCTCTTTATCTAAGTACATCTTCGACTTCAAAGACAGGAAGAGGCAAGAACCACAGACGTCTGATTGAAAATTATAATGGTGCAAATTGATGCTATCACTGTCCCCGATACGCATTAAAAAAATAGAACACCTATTTACAATCCCTTTAAGAGAATGACAAATGAAATGAAATGGTATTTTACACCCTACTGTTCTGCAAATGCCAATTTGACTATACGCTCAAGGCTATTTAGTCTCTATATCCAATAGAAATACAAGCTGTTACATTGTATAACTTGGTGAAAGAGAAATAGGTCGTTTTTATACCAGCGAATACAGGCAGGGACATACACAGACAATATACTGTTGGATGGTTGAGATCTAATCCTAAGGTTGACGAAAGCACTGACCGCGGTACCTGAAATATCTCTTGGAATCTTTAAACCTCTTAGACTCTCAGAGAATTGGTATTCATTTTACTAATGAGGAATTTATTCCATTTTAAACCCTATGTACAGTGCTGTTGCCCGGGGAGTGCTAGAATTAACGACAGCACTGACCGTGGATGTAGAAATATGTATTGAATATCTTGGAAATAAAGCTTACGTTTGTTAAAGGGGCAGTTGCATCATTTTTTGTGACAAATCATACTTTAGTCTTAGAAATGGAATTTTTATATGAGCTAATCAGTAATAGTGTTTACAGCTCACCGTTAAAATTTGAACCTTCAAATCCATGTGTGTTCAGAATTATCCGAGAAATAGTGAGAAAAATTCCTAGTTTGAGATATCTTGAAGGAATTATGCGGTTTTCGTACATTTCTAGTACTTCTGAAGACTATTTACATATTTTCAAGACCCAAATCAAATACATTGGCGTGGTATTAAAAGTGGATGAGCATTTCGAGCGAAAATCTCTCTCTATTCCAGCCTCTGATAGCTATTTGAAAGTTTTTTTGCAACCAACTACTGTCAGAATATCCATCAGAGGCTGGAATAGAGGCAGATGTCTCGGACTAGAATACACCGTGCCATCTTGGCCATAAGGTGACATTTAGCGAGGTTCAACTGCAATCGACGAAAGAAATGGCCGCGGTGTCTAAAACTTGGAATAACGTAAGGTGATAGTTAGTTAAAGCCCAGAGCAACCATAGAAAGGACTGGCTATGGTACGAAAAAAATAGAATTCGCTCAATTAAAGCAAGTAATGCAAGCTCTGTTTAAATGATAACATGTTTCAAAAGTAATGGCAGGAGTTGCGGTTTCTTGGAAAGAAATGTTAGGTTTTTCATACCAAAATTAATGACGGGATATCAGTTTGATGTATCAATTAATGAAGGGATATCAGTTTGATGTATCAATTAATGACGGGATATCAGTTTGATGTATCAAGGGTAAAATTTCATTCACCTCCATTAAAACTTAAGCTTTACATGAAATGGAGTTTTACTTCCTACTTTTCTGCACCATGTGGGCTAATGAAGACGGACAACGCCATGCAGGATGCAATGAGGGAAATTTTGCCAGGACAGCGGCATCAGTCTGCTCTTTTACGATTTCCAACTATGAAGGTGTTTTTTGTATGCGTGTATAAAGATTGGTGTTTACATTCCAAAAGTAATGGATATCAAATGGTATATAATATTTGAAGATTTGAAGATTCGAACCTGAAAAGAAAAGATCATATCCATAAGGACGTATAATAGCTATATATGACGGGTTAGATTTCACAATATTGTATATATTTGGTTTATACAAAAACCTGTAATTGAACTGGCTCGTTTATCTCTATTCATACCTGTAAGAAAGATTTACGTCACGTGACTGCATTTCGCAATCTTGTGTCTCAAGTCGCGGTGCAGGGCATTTCAGTTGGATTTTACCGATCAAGAGCAAGTATTTTCGATACAGAAATATTAAAATAACAAAAATGGCTAATAAGAGTGGTAAGTAAAATTAATTTTCTTTTAGTATTTTCTTTCAGGCTATTTTAAGGTATTTTGTGTAAATTTTAGACAAATAAACAACAAACACATAAAAAATAATATAAACAAAGAAACGTCTGCAATCATAAGACTCAAATGTTTTTCACCTCAGCTGATCATTAATCAACAAGCCCAGGGGACCAAGTTTGGCCTTATTGTAACGACAATAATTGAAGGAACCACGCCCGTAGCCAGTCTTGATCGTAGGGCCAAGTAATATATCAATCAGGGGCAATGAGTTCAGATGCAGTAATTGAATTGGTCGGTTGTCAGAATTTTTTCATGCGCAGAAATAGCTCGAAGGGCATTTTTAACATGAAAAGAAGGCCACTACATTTTCGTTACACGTATGACTTACAGTGACGGCCCCAGCCTCCCGAAACTGGGGGTACAAATAGGGGGCAGACTGACTCCATGTAGGTAATACTAGCAACGCTGAAATTAAAATGCGACAATTCTGTGTAGGCCAAGCCTCTCATTGAGCGCCTGAGAGGGTTCTCCCCATGAAAAATGTTAAAATGTAATTTATTTGGTGCATTCTGAAACATTTTTAGGGCAAAAAGGTAAAATTAAGTGGGGTACAAACCCTTCCCCCCCCCCCCCTCCCGCTTGTGTACCCCGCTGGTGTCGCCAATGGTGATTTTTAATATTTTTTCATCCTCAAAATAGGGTATTAGATGTCTGATATAAGGTGTCTAGTGTGTCTAACTAACACTAAAGCAACTTTGACCCGCATTCGAATGATGTTCTTCGTGGGTAGTTACATCCTCTTTATTATAAATACGGAGAAAAGAACAGGGAAGGAAATATCAGTTAATTCTAAGAATTTTTGATATTGATATTAATTATTGATATGAGGATAAAATTTAGGAAGGAAAAAGATTTTAAGTCGTGACACGAAAAGACGGATTATCAGTACACCTGCTATCATTCTGCGACTGTGTTTTTGCCCCAATTTTCGGCGGACGGTGAATGGGTGCTGAAATTTTCTCACCCCATTTTTTAACACCCCACCCCTCCGAACACCCCTCCACATTACAGACAAAATAGTAAACTTAATATGTCAAGTCGTGTTGTCGAGGTTTCGATTAATAGTTTTTGAAATGTGCAATGACGCCAAGCAGACGTCAACAGTTATGTTGATATAATTAACTTCACATATTGCGCATTTGAAATGATATTTATAAGCAAACAAACAATTTAATAACGGAATATTTCTATATCCCTGTGCAGTATATATCTCATAGCGGGTCGTATTGATAATTAATTACAATATCTCAGGGGATTATATGATTACGATGTGGATAGGTTCACGGGCAAGGTGCATGGTGGAAGGTACATATTATAAGTAGGGTTAGGGCTAGCACGACAAACCTGGTCGTTCACGTTCCTCGAACGTACTATACGTCTACGGGTATAATATAGTTACATGCCAATATACCACCAGGATATCAAGGTCGAACGGTTAGGGCCAGAAAACTCACATAATTTCTTTATAAATATGACAAATATTGTCTTGGTGACTTTTGTCCTTGGCCTTGACACTTAAACACCGAAGCAAGAAGATAAATCATCCCCACAGGGTCAAATATTGGGGGTGAAACAAACCACTGAAAGATAAACAAATATATATTATTATTGTTGTTACTTTGTCCGAAGCCTACTGACTTATAGGCATTGTAAAGAGGACTTCTATAATTTTTTATGCGAATCGGAGACACTGATAGCATAAATTTGCACCATTCCAATTTTCAATCAGACATGATTGTGTGGTTCCTGCAATTGCTCTAAAACTAAGTTTTTTATGACGTCACCCCCGCAAAATTTGCTCGTATCACATAAGAACTTTGTGGGAGTGTTGCTAGAACCACAGATTGGAATGGTGCAAATTGATGCTATCATTGTCCGTGATACACAAACAACATTTAGAAAACCTCTTTACAATCCCTTTAACACAAGTAATAGAAGTAAAAATCTCCATGCCACGGGAGGAAACTCGCTCCACCATGGAGCAAACATAGGCATCAAAGGATCGGATTCGCCAAACGTTTGACCAAGCCTCAGAAACAGGAATTTATTAGCAAAGCTGGTCACTTATAGTGTTCACAGCTCAAAGTCAAAATCGAGCCTTCAAATCCATGTGTATACAGAATTATCTGCGTTAAAATAACAAAAGAAGTAAAAATGACAACTCTTTGTTTCTTGAGACTCTGTCATATAATATATGAAAGACAATTAACAGCAAACAGAACTGTTTCGACCTTCTTTACCTCATCAGTGCAGTGCTGATACTGGAGTTGAGGTTTGGCTATATAGCTGCCTCAGATGATCCTAGATAATGTGGTATTATCGCACCATGCCAGAGTGCTCAAACTAGCAAGCTGCCGAGCTATGCATATGAAAGACAATTATATATGTTCGTACATTTTTAGTAGGCTTTATCTGAAGACCTTTGACAAATATTCAAGACCCAAATCAATTCTCAATATTTATGTGACTGAATAGTCATGAATACATTGTTACATTGTTACATTGCTATATTGTTACATTGTTATATTGTTATATTGTTACATTGTTATATTGTTATATTGTTATATTGTTACATTGTTACATTGTTACATTGTTATATTGTTACATTGTTATATTGTTATATTGTTACATTGTTATATTGTTACATTGTTATATTGTTATATTGTTACATTGTTATATTGTTACATTGTTATATTGTTTGAAAAGAATTAGGTTAAATTATTTCCCTGCAGTCGGCATTGAATTTGATTGAATTGAAAGAATAATAACGAAGAGTGGAACAACCGTAGCTCTTATCATTAATTGCCTACTGCACATTGTTTGCTGTATGAATTATATGGATCTTTAAACGGTCACTGGCGTAATTTTCCAGAAAAAATTTAAATCCTAAGAAAATAATTTTTATTTATTTGCAAAATGTCCAAAGTAATATTGCGCACCTCTCACTGACTACAGGTTTTCATATATTAGGCAATAAAATGAATATTGAGAAAATAGGTCAATAACAAGGTCGTGGAAAATTTTTTCATTGCGCAATGCATGACGTAGTCCAATCTAGCACAGACTAAATCGAATATTTCATTCAAAATGTTTTATTAATAGTAATAGAAATACATACATATTACATAGAAATTTGGAAATTGCACAGTCACTATACGTGTTCTCTATGGCTGCTAACAACGGTACGGATAATATTTTAGAGCGTGAAGATTGATAATTTTGTATTTGAAAAAATATTTCCTCGTTGCGCAATCATGAAGTTGTCAACATTTTCTTTGTTATTTCTTATGTTCTTGTGACAGTCATTGAAATACTACTAATTATTTTTTAATGCAATTAAAAAATTTGCTTCTATCTTGAAACGTTTCCACGAATCCCCTCATTGCAAACTGTAGTACATGTTCTGTCGACATAACTCAATCTAAGACAGAAACACAAACGCCATGCAGTGTGCAATGAATGAAATTTTGCAGCTGTGCAACGCAAACTGGATATTATGTAGTTGTTTATTGTCGAGTTTCATATACAAAATCTCCCCATCGTACACTGCATGGTGTCTTTCATTTTAATATCGCTTTGATTTCGTATTATTAAGAAAGCCAGTGTGTATTGAGCAATAAAGACCATCCTGTGTCTATATCAACATAGTCAACAGCTTGGGTGAGGCTGGTTAAAAAATAATGGAGTAAACAGGATTAAGTCAATAAACGTAGATATACTTGGTGTATTACGTTAGTATACACATGTATTGCTTTATTCACTACCATCCTATTTCAGAAGGAAGGGCGTGTTTTACAAAGGGATTGAAACATTTTTATGCGTATCGGGAACACTAATAGCATCGATTTGCACCATTCTAAGTTTCAGTCAGACATCCGTTATTGCTGCAATTCCACTAAAACTAAGCGTTTGATGATGTCACTATAGCAACATCTTATATCATATAAGGAGCTTTGCAGTTTTGAACTCTGTACAATCCTTTTAATGTTAGGCAAAGCGTTTTTACAGAAAATTTTCGGGTTTTCATTACCCCATCACCTTCTTACCCGCATCCTCATTGGAATTTTTGAAATTAAATACTGTTTTTACTATACTGTTCTATCTTATTCAATTACTAAATACATCCAGCTGCAGCAACGAAACTATACCTCTAGATACGCGAGTTGTCAAGGCAGATTAGGCCGAATTCACGGAAACAACTGTCTCTATTCCAGCCTCTGATAGCTATTTGGACAGATGTCAGCTGGTGTACAGACAGAAATAATAAGCCCTGTTAAATGGGGACATTCCGCATCTCCGCAGTTGCGGGGGTTTTAGACCTATTGAGATACTTCGGATCTGCAAAACCCAGGTATTATTGGAAAGTTGAATATTTTTGTAGTTCAGTCATACTATCATTTTCTCCCTACACCATTTATGTCATGTCTCCGGTTCCATCGATTTTTTTTTTTTTGCGAAACAGATCTAGCATCGGCCATTAAAACTGCGTGCGCAGCCAAAGGGTCACAGAGTCAAGTGATACTAACAAAACGAAAGTTACGGTGATGCCCAACACTAATTTACAATCATCTTAAAGCTTATTCAATATTATGTTAGATGTTATGTTGGAGGTGTGGAAAATCCCCATTTAACAGGGTCTTTTTTCCTGACTCTACTCCAGCTGAAAACTGTCAAAATATCCATCAGAGGCTTGAATAGAGGCAGATGTTTCGGACTAAAGACAGATGTGGTTTATTTAAAGTTCTACTATTTCACATGCACAATCAAGTAAATATTCAGATGACTGAATTTGTTTGTGCTTCTCTCTTTTCAGAAGCTTACAGTACAGATAATCCAGGCTACAAAGGGGATCAAGGTCAGCCCCAGCAAGGCTACCCCCAGCAAGGCTACCCCCAGCAAGGCTACCCCCAACAACAAGGTTACCCAATGCAGCAATATCCTGCTGGTACTAATGTGGTGGTAAGTGAAATTATTTCAAGTTTTTCACCATTTTTACTTTTTTTTTTATCTTGTAAATATTTATTCAACACAAATTATACAATTATACTAAAACTAAAACATGTATCTCACAGTTATTATATAATTAAAATCAAGATATACATCAATATCACAGATGAATACTCCTTAATGGAGTTAAAATACGGTAAAATATTAATATAACAATACTGTATTATAATATTTACACTATTTCCATTATGGTATGGAGCTTAAAAAATATTACTGTAAGGCTTCAAATTGTGGACACTAGCTATGACAATGTTTCTCTAAAATGGGTTAACACGTACTATAATAATTAAAAATTAAAAACTTGATTAAAAAATCATGAAAATTTGAAAGTTGTATATGATAAAATGAAAATGATGTTTCTTAAATGCAGAAGTATCCCTATTGATGGATCTTTACATATGAAACCGAAAGTTGTAAAGATCCATAAGGATATTTCTTAAAAAAATGAAAAACGGGGTTAAAATATTGCTCTAGTAAAACCTAGAGCGTCGTCTGCTAGTGTTGACACAACATATAAAGGAATGTGTAATGATGATTAAATCTATAGGGCTATAGAGACTGGTCCATACTGCTAAATTAAGATGGTGAGTGGGTTATTATAAAATGTTCAAATCTATATACATGGTAAAATAAATGTAATAAGTATATTATTTATGTATATTTAACAATAAAATGCTAAGAAAATTCAATATCAATTGTATTATCAAGGGTAATGTTGATAAAACATGACGGTAGAATAAACTTTTGAATAAAAGTATGCCTAGGATAAAATTGTTTTGAATATATTAATGCACTGGCTAAAATATTTTTATAAAAACAAACAAGGTCTATATTACAGTCGGGATTGTCACCATTTTTACTAGTTCTTTGGAGATTTGAAAATGCCTTACTGTTCGTCTCCAATACCTGTTTAAAAAAATGTGGATGACGGCCATGTGCAATAATGTTTCAATTTCATTTTCATTTTCATTTTCCATTCATTATCAATTACAATTTCATTTCAATTTCATTTCAATTTCATTTCATTTCAGATCGGCCAACCAGCAACTACCATCGTCACCAATCCACGACCAAATGATTACTTTACGTTTGCACTTCTTACATGTCTGTGCTGTTTTTGGCCAACAGGTATCGCAGCCCTGGTCTTCTCCTGCAACGTAAGTTTGATAGTTCTCCCTTTCTCTTTCTCGTTCTCTCTGTCAATCATGTAGATCGGAGACGCTGACATGGAAAAAGCGTCAAGTCGTTCGGGACAATAAACCGAGGTCCCGTGTGCTACAGACAGCACACGTTAAGAATCCCTCGACAATTGGAAATCGAAAAAGAGAAGGCTAATGCCGCTGTTCTGGCAAAATTTCCCTCATTGCACACTGCATGGCGTTGCCTATCTTCATTGGCCCGATAAGGTGCACAAAAGGAAGGACGTAAGATTCAATATTTGCCTTTCATTTCTCGTTAATGTCATTTAAACAACACATTTGATCATCGGGACATTTACAGACAAAATTTTCCTCATTGCACACTGCAAAAAAGCTATTCGTATACTGTAGCCGAACAAGGTACTTCATCTCCTCTGCCATAGATTGACCTTTGGCATAGAAAGCCTTCGAAACTAAAATGCTAAACGTCAAAATAGAATATTATGCCAAAAGATCTATTGTTCTGCTTTCGCTCTGCAACAGATTCAGCTTTACGGATTGCCGAATATTGATATGATTCAATTTTTTTTCAGTCACGTGATGCCAGTGACCGGTTGGACTTCAACCAAGCACAAAATGATGGACGAATGGCCAAGATCTTTTCAATCATAAGTTTGGTGATTGGTCTGGTCTGGATTATAGCTGTCATTATTTATGCAATTGTTGCAGCCACTGTGGTAACAAAAGCATATACCCGTACTTATTATGGGTAGGGTGGGGCCTGGATTGGTGCGGGGTGGGGAAGTAGGGAGTGGGTTTTTGGATAATGGGGGGTTTGGCGGGGCCGAGTTTTTCGCCTATGACGTGACGAGTGAATCTGTAAAGTGGTAAGGGTTTGGGCTGATATTAGGAGAAGGTTCTAAAAGGGGGGGGGGGGGGTTAGGGTAGTGGTGTAGAAGGAGATTTTTTTTTTTTTTTTTTTTAGTAGAGGAAGGATTATCTCTGTAGCTCCGAAAGCTTTTGTCCTCATTTCATCTTTTTGTCCAGAAAAATATTACACTAAATATTCTTAGAATTCTTATCTGGCTGTGACGTCGTAAATCCCGTTTTGTTGAAGCTGACAAATATGCCAAGGAAGGCACTAAATAATCATTCATTCGTACATTTTACACTTTCTTGTTTTTAACAATTTTTTTTTTAATTTTTGAAAATTTTCAAAATCTATTTTCTAGTTCTTTAATGTATGAAAAGTTTTTTAATATAAAATAATTTTTGTATAAAACTTGTTTTCTTTTTATGAACACCCACGAAAGTATATCCTCTTTCGTTCCGTTTTTTTTCTCAGCTTTTATTTTTACTCAGCCACAAAAATTAAGGTCTAACAACTCATATTTCTTCGTCTGATTAACCTGTGCCCTAACCTGATGACCTCTGCTTTAACCAATCGAATAACACTGGTCTAATTCAGAACAGCCAATTTAAAAAAGTGTTTCACAAATGTTCAGTTTTAGTGGACTTGATAAACTTGTCTAATGCTCCTTGGAATACATCTTTTAATTTGTCTTCGTTCCATTATCCCTGCGCTGAAGAGTGAAGGAATTTGATTGGCTGGTGGTGTTATGAATTAGAATAAAAGTTACATAGAGAAGTTGTTAGACCTACATGGAGTGATTCACTAGAATAAACGAAATAAACGGAGCGATAGGTTGGTCTAATTTTAAAATAGACTGAATCGTAGTCTAGGTCCATAGGTCTATTAAAACAAGATAACGATTTCGTGTCTTTTTCGTTTTCTGATATTCTTAGTCAACACTGTAATCTAAATAGTTTTCTACCAAAGGCCTGTCCAAATGATGTTATTTTTAGCCTATCAAAGCAAGTCAGATATAAACCCGTTACTTGATAAAATAAGCAATTCTGGGATAGGGAAACCCAAATATTTTGTACTTTTTCTCTTATACTTAAGGTTTCGATAACCATGTACTATTCCTTGTTCTATCAAAAACGGGTTCTATCTGACAATCTTTGATTGGTTTAAATATTTGGTACGGACCTGTGGTAGGATACTTATTAGATTACCATTGAGACGAAAAATATCAAAAAACGAAAAGAGTACTAAATTGTAGTCTTATTTAAATAAGAATGAAGTAATACGTTCATATTTGTCTGAAATAGTCTTCCGTGACGTTAGAAAGATTGTCAACGTAGTTATTTTCCAAGAAATTAACAAATCAAAAACATGATAAGATGTGATTTATAAAAAAAAATTTCAAAATTTTGAAGATAACAGCTAGTTTTATCTTCTTTCAAACAACAAAAATCACGTGGTTATCCATAGGTTATATTTGGTAATCTTGAGATAAAGTTCGTTATATCTGCTTCTGCTTTTTTTGGAAAGTTTAGATCGTATTTTGTATCGAATTGAATCAGAATTTGAGTTCAGATTCGGTATCGAACTACGTTTTTGTTGACTTGACTTCGAATAAAGGATTAAGCTCTCAATTAGATAAGCTTGAATTACGATCAGCAATTATAATGGAAAAACAAGCCGGTAAGTGTCAGATTTTGTGATAATTTTGATTTCGATATGGTATATGTTCATTTAATCCGATTGAATCAGTAAATTAAAAGAAAAGTGTATCAAGAATACCGACGGCATCGATTTACACCATTCCACTTTTCATCCAGTTTAATGTTCTTATTCAAAAAGGCCTTTTTATGACGTCACTATCGCAATGGTATATATTAACAGCAACTTTTTCTTTTGCATTTCCTACACAGTTAAGTAATTTTATAATAACAAGAACCACACACGTCTGACTGAAAATTTGGAATGACCAAATAAAAAGCCGCAAATGACACTGTTACCTACACAATAGCTAAAAAAAATCCTTAAATCCCTTACTGGAAAATATCGAAATGTTCAGATTCAAAAGATTTCTTTAACCGCCCGCGGAAAGAGAAAGGGGGGTAACTCTTCCATTAAAATAATCCATTTTATCACTTAGAGGTCAGGTTCTGCCATTTTGGGGTTTGATTTGGGTAAATGAATGTAAATAAATAACATATGTCTTCAGAAGTACCAGAACAGCATAATAGCGCATAATACCTTCAAAAATACCTTACTTTAAACTTTTTCTATATTATATGTAGTTTCTATGAGTCTGAAAAAGACGAGTCGTCATTTCAACATTCAAACTGATGATAATTCTGGAGACACATAGATTTGAAGCACAAATTTCGACGTCGAGCTGTGAATACTATTACTGATTAGTTTCGCTAAAAATTTTATGATGCCCAGTGTTTCTCTTCAACATGTATCGATAAACTTTCATATTCACTTCACTGAAAATATTTTTCAGGAAACTATAGCTCAGATAATGTTGCATATAAATCGGATGAAGGGGGTTTCGCGAATCCACAGGGCAACCCACAGCAGGGCCACGCACAACAGGGTTACTCTCAACAGGGTCACCCTCAACAAGGCTACCCTCAACAAGGTTATCCTCAACAAGGCTACCCAATGCAACATCAACAACTATACCCACAAGGGACCAACATCGTTGTAAGTTGAAGATTTTCAAATTATCACGTCCAAGGATTAAGAAAATTATCATATCCTACTTACGAAACGATTGTACTAAGAGTAATAGCAGTTTGTGCTTAGAGCAAAAGCAAATTGTGCTCATAGCAGATTGTGGTTGAAAGGTAACAAGTTACTATCCAACAGAGTAATGGCAGATTGTGCTTAGAGTAATAGCAGATTGTGCTCGCATCATCATCGCCATCATCATCATCAGCATCATGAATATCGTCATCATCATTTTATCCAGCAGCAGTAGCAGCAGTAGCAGCATCCTCATCACCCTCATCATCATCATCTTCCTCCTCATCATCATCACCATCACATCATCATCAGAAGCAGCACCATGAACATCATCACCATCATCATTAATAGTATTATCATCCTTTTTATTATCGCAGGTAACCCAACCGGCAACGACTACTTTAGTCAACAGACCAAATGATTACTTCGTGTTTTCGCTTTTAACATGTTTGTTTTGTTTTTGGCCGACTGGAATTGCCGCCCTGGTCTTCTCGAGCAACGTAAGTTTCCGTTTGCAATTTTCTTTCCAATATTTTTTTAATGATCCAGGATGACCATTTCAATAATTTCTTATTAACCAGAATCACGAAACCACGTGACGATCTGGATATAGTACCGGTAAATAATAGCTACAATTAAACTGTACCATGGGCGTATGTTGCAGAGCGCAACACAAGCGGAACGTGATTTCGTGCGTAACTTCCTGCTTTGTTGTAAATAACATTAGTTTGTCTTTCAATATATCCTTTATAATCCAGTCCCACTTTGTCAGCGCACAGCTGCGACTAAATAGAACCCATAAATAAAAATAGATAGACAAAATGCTAAATAGTAGTTATCTCCCTTTAAAGCTTGACTGCATCAATAGTAGTTATCTCCCTTTAGAGCTTGAATGCATCAATAGTAGTTAGTTATCTCCCTTTATAGCTTGAATGCGTAGTTATCTCTCTTGAGAGTTTTAATACGTCAATAGTAGTTATCTCCCTTGAGAGCTTGAATGCATCAATAGTAGTTATCTCCCTTTAAAGCTTGAATGCATATATAGATCAGTGATCAATAGTATTTATCTCCCTCGAGAAATTGAACGTATCAATAGTAGTTAGTTATCTCCCTTGAGAGTTTGAATAAGTCAATAGTAGTTATCTCTCTTGAGAGCTTGAACCACATAGGTAATAATAAAGACTAGAGGGCTTGTCAATTTACGCAGTTCAACTGGAAGTCCAATTTTGGATTTACAGTATGGTTGTTCTGGTGTTTCACACTTTTCATTCTTTGAAACATGGTTGTCCATACTTTATGTCTTTCGTTTCAGTCCCGAGAAGCCAGTGATAGAATGGATTATAACGCAGCAGAGAGTCATGGTCGAACTGCCAGGACATTTTCTATCGTTAGCTTGATTATTGGATTAGTTTGGATCGTTTCTGTTATTATCTGGGCTATAGTCATATCTGTACGAGTCACCACCACTTATATACATTATGGTTAAAGGGGCAGTATGCAATATTTTCATAATCAAAACGTCGTAAAGTATACCTGAAATATGCTTATAACATATGTATGTATCTACTTGAACAAACTGAATTTGTTTTATAATGGTTAGTTCAAAATAGAGCCTATTGATTGTTGATAAAGCAGTTTGTCCAAGTTTTGGTGTTTGGCTTTATAATGTCTGGATATTATTAGTTGAAACATTTAGAATACACAAAAGACATATTTCTCTACAATTAAGCGTTTATTTTAATCAAATTCGTATAGTAATTTTCTGTAAAGGATTTTGGTGTATAGTTTACACAAATTTGATTCTACCCACAAAAAAACCACAGAATGCCACTTAAATCATTCTCTCCTCTATTCTGAACGTAACTCTTGGGAACATTTCAGATAAGGACCATATATACAAAGCATTTTGTTTAAAATGCAGATCGTGTAATTTCTGTGGGTGACTTCTCTTGTCAGACAATGATCAGACTAAATTGTTATACAATACATGTTCTAGGTCATTATAATATTCAGCTTATCAAATGTCCTCATGGTAAGATTAGATTCGATTAAAGGGATAGTAAAGAGGTTTTCTAAACATTTTATATGTATCGAGGACTCTGACAGCATCGATTTGCACCATTCCAAAAACCAAAGATGTCAGATTGAAAATGAGGATGGTATATATACACATCGATGCTATCAGTGTCCTCAATACATATGTAATATTCAAGAAATATTCTTGATAACCCCTTTAACATGATTTATTACATATTTTGACGTAAAACATAGAAGATATGAATTCTAATCTTGGATGTTTACATACAGAAAAAATACGAAACATCAAGGTCTGCATTTGGATCAGAAAAATAGCAAATGAACCATGTGATCAAATATTTATCGATGCGAATTATTTCTTATTGTATTTGACTCTTTATTAAAATAATTTGATAAGTAACATTTTTCAACCTACTCTCTAATACACATTTTGATATATTATATTGTTTATATTACGATGTTGATTGTTTGTCGCTCTGTAATGTATATATTGAGGACCAGTGCAAACATTGCTTGTTTAAAAGAATACTACGTCTTGAATGAGCATAAAATTCAAGGATTTTAAACTTGGCCAATAAGAAGATATACCTGGTGTCATAAATAACATAACAGGATCCTTATATAATCCGATAAATCCAAAAAACTTGGTAATTATCCATAAATATGCAACTAACTATTGGAAAATGCTTAATATCAAGATTAAGCGTTTTTCAATAATTACTTAGTTTTATAAATTTTCCAATTTTCTAGATTTTACAGGGATTCTTTTGTAACTTTATGAAACCATGGATATAAAGAGATTCTATTCTTTTGTCATGACACATGGAAAGTCCAACTATTGAATGATATATACTTTTATTAATCAGTTTTGGGACAAAATGAAAGATTATATTGAAATTGAGGTCGCATTCTTATATTACAAGCAACGTAGACGAAATGCATTGTGGTATTCATTCATTGTAAAATTAGGGTCAAACCATATATCACCAAATTCCTTTCAATTGATATCTGAATAAATTCTTATTAATACTACTATCGTCAATACACAAAACTCTCAAAACAGCCCAAACCACTTAGAAACACAAGCTCATTTCACACTGGCCAAGATATCTCGAACCCTACTTACTAACCATCTACTAACAGTAGTCACACAAGCCCGACATAATTTGTGACCCATTCTCGTTCCTTCGACGTGATCCAAAATTGGATGGAAGAAACACCTGGAAAATGTGATTTTTTGAGCCTGGCTCTAGTCGTGACGATATGACATCTGTATAATTATCATGTCCGAGATTTGTCCGACTATAGTCTGGTTGACTATCATAAAATGGCACATATTAAATCATACACCAATGTTTTACTGGATATTCTACTTTGTCCCTGTACCCCACACACAGTACCACAATATAGTAGAGGGATAGGCTTAACTTACAGGTTGTACGAGGAACGATAAGGCTACCCTTCGATTGATTGATTGACCAATAAGATGAAGACAATGTTAAAACCAATGCAGTAAGATTATGACCAAAAGAGAACGAACGGTTAATTCAGATAGATTGTGTGAACTGCCCTTTACGATAACCCCGAAATGTTGCTAATATTCATTGTTTGAATAACATTGACTTTCTCTGTGATAATGGCCCTAACAAATAGGCAGGGTTAACATAGTGTTATCTTTTATTTACGCTTTCCATCACCAAAACAAACTTGACCCCTTTCACTAGGGTTGTATAGAATGCCCTTAATGCCGGACCCAATTTACTTAGAAAGGAGCCTAGTTAATCACAATCTAAAATTAGATAACAGCGAGGTTGGTAATCTTACAAGTTTCTACCGCAGCCTAGTTCTGATTTCATAATTTTCAACCAATCAAAGTATGCACAATTCCTCTACTTTAAATTTAGCTATCCCACAATTCGCCCAAGAAACGGATCCAACATAAAACGCTTTGATTGGTTAAAGATAAAGACTTATAACGCAACTGTAGTTGAAAACTTGTTAGATTATAATGGAGAAGGAAACAGATTAGCACAATTAGCACCGGGGTACTGTATTTTAATTAAGATCAAGCATTTGCATAAAAAAAATTTGCAATAACTATCATGATATATTAAATTTTGTAAAATTCTGCAAATCGATATCCGTGGGAAGTCAGGACAAGTGGCATATTAAACCAACCATATTCCCTTTCAATTTTCAGTCCAATTCTGAAAGTTTTGTATGATAGGTAATATGATCACGTGACGTACACCCTATAACCAACCTTGGTAACCCGTATCGAGTCAGTTGGTTACAAAAAATTCTACAATGTCGAGCAAAGGTAAGATTTCTGAGATTTAAAAAATTTTCGGCCGATCTTAGGGTGTCATCATTCATTTATTCCTGATTTTTAAATTTTCATATTCCTCTCCTTTCAAACTTTTGAGTTTTTACAATTTTTCAAGAATTACTTTTTATATAATTTATAGAATCAAAACAAAAAATGTCTTCACTTTCAGATTATCAAAAATTTAATTAACCCTATAGGAACAATTCAGAAAAAATCTAATTTCAAAAATGGTGAAGTTTTATCTTATCTTATATAAATGTTTGCTGAATATGAAATGTTTTATTATTTTGTGAATTTGTTCCACATTTCAAAATTCAAAATTTGAATTAAACATTATTCAATTTCTAAGGTAACTTACAAATTACAAACAACGAATTTTGATTCGACTGAAAAAAATTTCGTTTTAACAGATTTTTCTAAAATTGTACTTAATTGAAATGACATCTTATGACTCTAAACGAAATATTTAATCCGTTAAGATAGAAAAAAAAATTTTTTTGAGCGAAATATTCAAATTTATTTGAACGACATTCTGAATTTTTTCAAGCGAAATATATTTGTTTAAGCGAAATATTCAATTTGTTTGAGCGAAATATTCAATTTGTTTAAGCGAAATATTCAATTTGTTTGAGCGAAATATTCAAATTTGTTTGAGCAAAATATTCAAAATATTTTAAGATTTATGAGATTATTTAGTTATTCATTTATGCAATCGTTAACCCAGTCTTGAGAGAAAATTAGGATGTAAAACTCCATTTCATTTCATTCATGTCGTGTCTTTCACTTTGATTAGATTAAGTGCGTTCACATAGAAAATAATTCAATTATCCTTGACACTCTTTCAGACCTCAATGATTCAATTATTTTAATAAAATGGAAATCAGGCCAAATCGATTCAGGTCTATTCATGTATCTTCAAAAGAATATTGTTGCTAGGGTAAATAAATCGATACAATCTTGAATTAATGGTGGTTAAGGTCCATGGAATATTTTATGTCCAATAAATATTGACGTAGGAGTTCACAAATGTGAATAGAAATAGCAGTTATTCTTGGCCGCTACTTTAGACGCATTATTATAATAATAATAATAACTTTGGCAACCCATTAAGACAGAAGTCTAATTTTCAATAGGTTCATTTGATTAAAATGATTGTTAAGAGGTTTTCTCAAATTTTTATGTGTATCGAGGACGCTCGTAGCATTAATTTGCACCATTCTAATTTTCAATCAGTCTGTGATTCCCGCAATACCACTAAAACTAAATGTTTGGTGACGCCACTAATCGCAAAATACGCTTTATCAAATAAGACCCTTTGCCATTAGTCATGTCATCAAACACTTAGTTTTAGTGGAATTGCAGGAACCACAGACGTCTGATTGAAAATTGGAATGGTGCAAATTGATGCCATCAGTGTGCCCGATACACATCAAAATTTCGAAAAAATTTACAATCCCTTTAATCAAATCAAAAAAAAACTTTTTGAGAAAAAATCAGTCCAAATTTCCCAAAGACCCATTTTGTACTTTAAAAACCAAGGAAGTTTTCCACTTCGTCCTTCGCAACAGAACAATGGAATAAGTTTGGTATTACCTTTCACACAGACTTCTGACTTTCGCCCTATTTCCAAAGTCGTGAACTATTTCAACTGTGGTTGCCAAAACAAATTATAATACCAAAATATAAGACCTAGAAGTGTTTTGTGTTCCCAATTCAAAGGAATCAATGAATGAGACGTTATTTTAGGCCCATGACTGACGTGGATTTGAAATTAATAATATTGTGTTTCTTTCAAACATAATAGTTCACAGAAGCAACCGAAATGAAATAACTCTAACCCTTGACCTTTGACCTATTTATTAGCCCACATTTTTATATGTGTCTTTAAAATGACCTATTTATTTTTTACGTTCTTTGCCATTTAAACACTTCTGATTAATTGAATGATGCTGTGGTTAAATTACCCTATTTGAACCCAAAACCTGATCTGTTTCACTTCATGATAACATCTCTCTTCACATCATCATCATCATCATCATCATCATTATTATCATTATTATGTTTTAATTTTTATAATTCCATCCATTTCACATTAGTGATGTGGTATCTCCGAAAAAGTTAAGAATTGATAAAGCCAGTGATCTAATATTGTATATTTTTTATCTATTTTAAAGGTGGATATCCCCAGCAAGGTCATGGTGGCCAAGTCAATCCAGTAAGTTGCCTTCTCGCTTTTCCAATTCTCATAGCTATCATCGAACAGATAATCATAACAGAAATTCTTCAAAATGCAATTGGAAAGTGGCAATAGCGTATTAGTTGACTTCTGATCGGTCCAAAAATCAACTTAAAAGTTAGCGTTGTTTTCAGACAGAATACTGTATTTCTGTAAAATTCTAATTTACTGGGGTTTCATTCAGCCAGTTTTTTAATAGTAAAATAATTTTGTTTTATTTTTTTTTAAAAAAGCCACAAGGACAACAAGCCAGTGTCGTGGTCGTAAATCGACCAAATGCGCATCTTGGTTTCGCCATATTCACCTGTTTATGCTGTTTCTTTCCAACTGGTATAGTTGCTATCATCTTTGCATGTATGGTAAGTTATATACAAAATTCTATCCACGAATACAATTACCGGCTTTGAATAGTCTGAGATGGTTTGTATATTGGAATTACACGTGTCCATGAGACGATGCAACCTGCTTGATTGACACATGAAATATATTATTTTGATCTGAACAACATCAAGATAACGTCATTGAGATATGAATGACGTGGCTACACCGAGACAATTAAGATATGAATGACGCCTCTATATCCAGACATCGTCAATTAGATATGAATAACGTCACTTCGGTGAGATAACGTCATGTCACATCGGTGAGATAACGTCATGTCACATCGGTGAGATAACGTCATGTCAAATCGGTGAGATAACGTCATGTCACATCGGTGAGATAACGTCATTACGTCTTAACAGCGTCACTACTTCGAGATAACGTCATTGAATCGAAATAACGTGATCGGCATATTAGTTACACCATTTCAGCGTGGCAACATCATCTAGATCTTAATAACATCACTTCGGAGATGTAAAGTCATTAAACTGAGATAATGTCATTTAAATAACGTCACTGCGTCGAGAAAACGTAATTATATCGAGATAACGTCATTGTAATTTGAATAACGTCATCTTATAATATATAACTATCTTTAATATTTTTTCAGTCTCAATCATCCAGTGACAGAAACGATTTCACAAAAGCTCAAGAAGAAGGAAATTTGGCTAAAATTTTATCCATCATCAGTTTGGTGATCGGTCTCATCTGGATTATTGCTGTTATTATTTATGTTATTGTGTTTTTTGTGGTCTTGGCGGACGCTGTCTCTACGGTGGTCACTGCGACAAATAGTGGTTAGAAAATCCGAAAAGCCGCAAAAACTTCTTATTCTTGTTACTAAGTTCCTAGTGCCTCTGTTTAAACTGCATGTACTGAGTCGAAGTAAGACTATTTTATGAAATGCATCTCTTTAGCCATACCATGTCAAAGTGGCGATATCCCACCAAAAACTTACATTCTTACCTATATTGAGAGAAGCATCTCTAAGCTGAAATTCCATTGTCTTTACATGGCAAAATAATGATGTTTTTGAGATGAATTCTCTTAATAATGTCAAACAATACTCGTTTAAATAACTAAACATTTTAGGTAAAAAATATTTTCAAGATAAGTCTTTATTGACAGAAATTAAATGCATGCAGAATTTTAAAAAGGACACCATTTTGCTCGACGTTACCAAAAAATGGCGTTATCTTGTCTTAGCATGTGACGCCATTTGCTTAGTTACGGCGAACAAAATGGCGGCCATAGGCCATATGTCAAGTAGGCTATATTGATTCTTCAACATTGTTTCTCTCTCTGTGAGCAGTCTTGATTGTATATTCCGTCCGATTATGTACTATTTTTTAATTTGTTGTTTTCTTTTCTTACGTTCTATTAAACAGTTATTTTTGTATCTTGGTGTTTTGTTAATTCAAACCGGAAGTAGAACGTAACATCCCATGTCGTTTTATTGTGATAAACCGGCTGATCACTCGAGTCCACAATCAGATCAAAGAAAACTAATTTTGTTACAACCTAATTTCTCTGTATCCTTGGACATCCATATGATCAGTGTCATATTCCAACACTAGGCCTATATAATACGATAGCCTAAATGGTTGTTTTCTTAATGGTTGCTCACTGCTATCGTGTCATAATCTGCATGCTAGATGGACAAGACAGTTTGGATCAATGGTGGCTCACTGCTATCGTGTCACAATCTACATGCTAGATGGACAAGACAGTTTGGATCAATGGTGGCTCACTGCTATCGTGTCACAATCTACATGCTAGATGGACAAGACAGTTTGGATCAATGGTGGCTCACTGCTATCGTGTCACAATCTACATGCTAGATGGACAAGACAGTTTGGATCAATGGTGGCTCACTGCTATCGTGTCTCAATCTCCATGTTAGATGGACGAGATAGTTTGGATCAATGGTGGCTCACTGCTATCGTGTCACAATCTACATGCTAGATGGACAAGACAGTTTGGATCAATGGTGGCTCACTGCTATCGTGTCACAATCTACATGCTAGATGGACAAGACAGTTTGGATCAATGGTGGCTCACTGCTATCGTGTCTCAATCTACATGCTAGATGGACAAGACAGTTTGGATCAATGGTGGCTCACTGCTATCGTGTCACAATCTACATGCTAGATGGACAAGATAGTTTGGATCAATGGTGGCTCACTGCTATCGTAATAAAATCTGCTAGCTGCTGTTGGACTCTATAGTTTATATAGACAAAAATGCATAGATGGACATGATAGTTCAGATCAATGGTTGCTCACTGTTATTGAGTGACAATCTACTTGCTATTTGTACACTATATGTTATATCAATGGTTGATCATTGCTACCGTGCCATAATCTACTAGCAAGTCTGACACGGTGATTCGTAAGCAAGATTCAACGGAGAGTTATGTCAACAATTCGTATAACAATTGTAATTCCGTTTCTAAGCATGAAGACGGCAGTCTTTTATGATAAAAATAGCAATCAATAGTAACTACTTAATAATAAAAGGAAAGACTCAACAGTCAATTCAATACAACAATTGCACAATCCACTGCCACGCTCTGGTGAATCTCTTAATGTCAGTAGGGATCAACAGTAAAGGCTCCGGAGACGAGGGGAATTGGGGTTGAGGGGGGTGAGTGCAGCTGAAGGGATAGTCACTACGTTCATTTACTATAGCCAGGACGGATCAAGATGTGGCAATAGTATCAGAGCATTTCACGACGTGTCAGAACGTCTTACGACGCGTCAGTACGGTTCAATATTTGTCAGTACGTCCAGAAACGTGTCAGAACGGCCGTGGACGAGTCAGAACTTCTTACGTGTCAGTAATTGCTAGAACATGGTTTAACGTCTCAGTACGTGTCAGTTCGCCTCCGTACGTGTCAGAAAACCATTTAGAAAAAAAAACTACCCCACACCCCCAAAAAAATATTGTTAACCTTCAAACCCCACCCCGACCACCTCTTCTGAGCCGATGCACTTCACATGTCAATAGGAAAAACAAAACCAGTTTATTTATCTTATAACCCTAGAAACATAAACAATAGTCACGTGACCTTCTCCTTTTAAGCGTTATTTCAATATTAATTTAGTACTTATTATAACACCCCCGGATAACTCAACGCAATATGTCGAGCGAGGGTAAGCCACTTATTTCGTTTTAAAAATTATTTGAAAACTTGCTATTAATTTTTAGAAAATTAGAACAATTTTTCGTTTTGTCTTGTGAATTTGGGTTTAAGGCAATTCTGAATTGTACCTGAACTTTTCCGAGGGTAGAAAAAAAATGTTTACTGGACTACTGCGTGTGCATCAGGGACACCTTAAGCTACTATTTACACCGTTTAACCCCCCGTCCGACATCTGAAGTTCCTGTTATTCCAAAACACTTTTGTTGGTTGTATTTGAGGATTTTTGTGTAATTCTGCGAATTTAAAACTATACGGCCAAATCTTACTGCATGAAATTATTTGATCAAAAATGGGAATTTAGATTCACCAATTTATCAAAAATTGTAGACGCGTAAAAAATTTGGAAAAAAGAACATTACATTAACGGCTATTTCAATTTTTTTTCATTTACGAAAAGTATATATCATAATGTATTGAGAAATCTAATTTTTTAAGATATATTAAGAACGGAAAAAGACACAAAAAGTACAACTGAAAAATAACAAAATTTTTCAAGTAATGAAATTTAAAGGAAGGAGAAGAAGGAAGGTGTGTATGGGTAATAAAACCTTGAATACCCACTGTTCAGTAATCTTTGGGCTTTTGTTAAAATATTCCAATAATTCAGGGAAAACTTTTTTTTATGAATTTTCATAAATTTTCTTCAAAAACAGATTTTCATATCTTTTTTGGATTTTTTTTTCATACTCTTATAACGACTATGGTATAGATAGGCAATTTGCAATCAGTGGTACCTGTAATTCAAAGTCTGATGACTTCACTTATTGCGAAGGGCCTTGTGATACAGCATGGTTTGCGATTAGTGACGTTACGGAGGTCTTATTGAAAATCGTAATGGTGCAAATTGATGCAATCAGTGTCTTCGATACACAAAAATTTTAAATACCTCTTTATAATCTCTATATGTTTGTTTATGGTGATGACCGAAGCGTATATATATCAATTATTAAGGTCTAACTGGAGATTATCGATAGATCAATAAGACCATTGAATTTGGTCTATATTAATAAATGACTGATTCTATACGTATTTACCGTAATTCGATCAGTAACGAACAACAATAAAACTTAATGACTACATGTGACATATACAGAAGAGGCCCTGAAATATGAGATGGTTTTACGCAATTCGTTCCCCAGGGTAGCATACCAACACGTATGTCGCAAGACAATCAGCAATCAGCTCTAGTGCAGCATGCGAACGGGCATGTCGCAATAGAATTAACAACCAACGGAGAGCTCTCATCGTGCAGTACTCCGAGGTACCTCTATACAGTGTCGGAATCTCAATCTCACATTTAATTTAAAGAGAGATTGGCAATCCGTTTAACCAATCGTCTCTTAGTCTCAAAAACAAGTTTTTTTTGGAATGAAATTAATCAGTAGGCTAATAGTGTTCACAGCGCATCGTCGAAATTTGAGGCTTCATATCAATGCGTGTCAAGAAATATCCGCGTTTGAAAATTAAAATGACGTTTTTTTGTAGACTGCCATAATGAAAAACAGAAAAATAGAAAGTAAAATTTTAGTTTGAGTTATATTTGAAGGTTCGTGAAGTTCTCTTACTTCTGGAGACCATTTACATATAGCCAAGACCGAAATCAACCCCTTAAAATTGCGATTTGTGGCCTTTAAAGAAAGAAGAACATGCAGTTACAATTTACCAGTTCCCAGTGCGCTAAGGTCAACTTAGCCCCACCAAACCTCTTTTGGGATCCCAAATCCATCTTGACTGACGGTTGATAGCTGTTCAACTGATTCACAGTGCCTTAAAGAATGGGGGGTTTAG